TCCATCACATCTGACATGATTGAGGAGTATATTCCCAGATCCCAGTCAGAACCTTGCAGAAGTAGTTGCGTCCAAAGCTCCCTTGAACCCCAGCATTCTGCAGACGACCCTGCTTCGTCGGACTGGCGTACGGTAGCGTACTATTGCGTAGGTGTGGCGTACTGTAGCGTAGTGTTGCGTGGACTTGTGTACACAATGCGTATTTTCTGCGTCTAATGTTTACGCCGAAAGTACGATAACAAAATGTTGGCTATACATATAGCTCCGTTTAGTCTCAATTGACAACGCCCCCTATCGTCAGAGTCAGCAGCCTAACATGTTAGCCTATGGAATTTTACCCCCCAAAATAGTTTAAAATTCATTTTTTGTTTAAACGAAAAGCACACCCACCCCGACGTACGTTATCACTAGCTCTTTCATTGGAACCCTCATGTCCCATTGATTTTTGAAACTTCACCCACCGTAATTTGATCGAAATAGGTTGCAAGCTCGCCATTGACTATATAACACATGTGAAACAAGTCGAACTTTGGTCTCAGTTTGCCAAGCGATTGTATGGTTTTAGGTCAAGCACACGAAGGATAAGAAGCATGAATTATAATAGATCAGTTCTGATCGGTTCATTATGTCCATTTCATCCAACCCCCCCCCCCCCCCACCGTAATTTTTCCATTGAAAAGGGGCAAACATTTTGCCGAGGTAAGCAAAAACATGAATATTAATGATCGCCATGGACTATTCGATTATTTACAGAGGGGTGCAATTGTGCACCAAATCAAACTCTCGTACATTAAGTCAAGTATTTCATTGTATTATATAGTTTGGTAGGTTTATATTAATAACTGTTTAATTATCAGATATCAATGAAAGTTTAAAGATATGGAAAATGTTCTTGTATTTTATATTTCACGAAGCAATCTCACATACAAATTCACTACCAAGTGTCGTCTAATCCACCGATTGTCGTCTGCTTTATATGTCCAGCGAGCGAAAATGAGACAACCGGAGCAATTTGAAAAACCAAGCGCATTCTCGCCATTCATCATTCCAGTTCAACTTCAAGCTTTGCAGATCAAGACAATCAAGTGAAGCCACCATTTCATCAAACTATTTCTCACTACTTTCTGGAAAATGTTGCCGAACGGGCTCAAATTGTGTGCGAACGGAGTGAACGTAGTAGCAACGGGCTCGGGCTAGCTTGGACGGGAAGGATGCTCTAGAACTTTGAGCCCGTTCAAATTTTCCCCGTCCTGCAATTAGACGGAGTGACAATGTCCTTAAAACGAGATGGACGTACTATGAACGAAATTGCCGTACTTCGATCCTACTAGGAACGTGTTACAACGTGACGTGGTCGAGCATCAACTAACGTATTTTTATAGCCCTCGAGCGTTCGAACGCACTAAGAACGAGATGAGGACGAATCGTACCGTCTATGTACGGGGTGTTTGGGTTATAAACTATTCAGAATAAGTTGTGAACTAGTAAGAATGGTTTAGACGTATTGGGAACGAATGTTTATAGTTAATAAGCAATAATTAATAACGGGTTTAAACAGACTACGGACGGGTTTGGACTTTTGGAAATGGCAAATTTACCCGATCTGAACTTGATATGAACCTACTGTGGACGGGCTACAGACGAGATGGACGTATTGCGGGCTGTTTATGAATGAACTAGGATCGTACTAGAGACATTGTATTGCGAGCCCGTCCATGAAGTCCTTAAACAGATCGTAAACAGTTGCTACTACGTTCAAATCCGTTCGCACACAGTTTGAGCCCGTTTTGGCAACATTTTCCAGAACGTAGTGAGAACTAGTTTAGTGAGATGGGGGCTTTACGAAGATTCTTTTTTGTACGCGTAATACCGTGTTATCCAATTGCATGGTCTTGCACATTATGATAACATATTGAGTGTCATGTGACACCTTTTTATCCAAAAGGATACTCGCTAACTAACTTCCTATTTTATAAGTTATATGAGTGCCTTGTGACAACGTTTGAGCTTATAGAATACACAAAAGAAGGAAACAAGAAACAAGTCAGAACTCATGTTATTTTGAAAGCAAGATAGGCAGGTATATTTAAATGCGATATAACACCTGAATTGGTATCCTTGTCACTGTCAGGACAAATAAAAGTTTAACAGTATTGTGAAATAATTAATTTAGATAAATAAAAGTGACACATTATGTGTGATTAATCTTTGTACATTTTTTACACAATCATGATAATGAATATTTACAATCTAAAATGAAATCATGTCAATATCTAAGTAATTTGCTACAACACATCTATACCAAGTTAAGGAAAGCAAAATGATTGATAGATTGAATTTGTTTCCTTTTTGTGCATTGCTTGCTGTGAACAATCAATTATTTGCGTCAGTTACCATCTTACGATAACGATTACTTTATGTATCATAAAATGATTGATAGATTGAATTTATTTACCTTTTTGTGCACTGCTTGCTGTGAACAATCAATTATTTGCGTCAGTTACCATCTTACGATAACGATTACTTTATGTATCACAAAGAGGTAAAGTTACTGAATATATATATGAGATAATCATTTTATACTTTGAATACAACTTCATATTGTTTTATCGGTGATAAAACTAAGGAGGCATTTTAATTAACAGAACAGAACAGTATTCATGACTTCCATTGATAATCAATTTGACATCACTTTCAATTTTTAAAACAGTACTTATAACCTCCATATCACTTTCAGTTTTCTGAACAGTACTTATAACCTCCATTTATAATCGAATTTGACATCACTTTCAGTTTTCATCGTACTGAAGAGTGAAAATCGTTTTCGACCGTGTTGGTTTGATATCATCAAAATATGGCTCTCATTCGATAGTCTTTTGTTTTTAGCACACTTGCTAACATCATTACAAATGACAGACCATACACACTAGCAACAACTGAACGCTGACGCAACACTGTCTAATTCCATCGTTGATTTCATGTGTATTTCACCTACAGTATGCATGTCCGTATACTCATGGATTCAACTCTGTGTCATGTTTTTTGTTTCACACTGGTTAATGAGTTTTCCACAGTTTTTGCTCAACTCGCTTTTGGAGTCCACATACGGGAAAAAGATATCCACCAAGGTCTACATCTTGCCCCGCTGAGGACGTTTGGTAAACATTTTCCATGTCGATGTATTTATGGTTATTCGATGTATTGTTGCAAAATGAATCTGCCGGTGCTGCCGTTTCACGTATTATATAAAAATTCCAGTAGTAAAAGCTTGGAGCTGGTTTTGGTTATGCTTCTGGAGAATTTGTAAGAAGCATCGAGTTCACTAATGTTATTTCCATAGGTACTCATCTTAGATGTTTTGTATACATGGCCAAACTGATACACAACACGAAATACCCCTCTCTCCCTCAAAGCCTCTCGTGTCCCTCCTCTCTCTCTCTTTCTTTCTCGTGTTCTATCTCTCTCTAGCCATCTCTCTCTATCTTCCTCTCCCCCTCTCTCCCTCTCTCTCTCTCTCCCTTTGTCTATTTTTACTCTCTCCCTCTCTTTTCCTCCCACTTACTTTCTCGTTAAAGGCTTATGTCTCTTTCATACAAATTCCCAATCATCAAAGGGACCGGAGAGTTGATGATACAGGACCCCAAGGAAGAACAGTAGTGTTCTATAAACACTGCTGAATTGGGCTATCCACCGATTTTTTTTTTGTGTCTATGTACATGTATAAATATTTTATTTTGTATATTTTACTATGTATAATATTGTTATCTGATTTCGGAAATTAAAACAACAACAACAATACATCAACACGAGCAAATTCATAATTTTGTTTATTTATTATTATTATTATATTAATAACGATAAGCGTATTTGTGCTAATGCATTTAAATGAAGCAACAAAATATCAAGACCACTGTTTGGTGACACAAGTTTATTTACAATGACTTTAAAATTTGAATTTTAAGTCCTACATTTTGATAACGACACAAGGCAAGCTTATAATGATTATTGCATTACTCTCACCTTGCGCTTTTAATTTTCATTGCCGGAGTATTATTGTGTGCGACTTGATTATTATACCATGGACCCTACCTAACACCAGTATTTGTTTTCTCATTTATTTCTTGACATACCTAAATAATTAAAATTCTTCTAATCGTTATCAATTGGCTAATATTTTCAAATACCATCGTTAAAACAAAATGCATTGACGTTTTCGAAAAAATATTCTTTACCCATTCGTCAAAAAAAATGCTGCATGATATAACACGAAAAGTGTAAACAACTTGTGCATGTTTAGCATGTTCTCTAATCACCCTCTTTCATTCTCTCTTTCTCTCTCTCTCTCTCTCCGAAATCTCAAAATGGTCTTAGAACAGAAAAATTTAAGATTATAAACTCATAACCGAAACATTTCGATATCAATGCACATATTTGTATAATTTGATCTAAATATATCTATCATTATTTCTAATCATATATGCTACTTTGAAACATGTTTTGTATATTATTTTTAAAAAGATTGTGTTTATTTACACTATTTTTAGTACGTATTGGGTTGATATAGCATCGCTGTTGATTATAAATAAAAATTAAACCACACATCGAGTACACCACCAAGCTAGTCAGGTTCGTAAGAAGGAGGGTTTAATACACATCATCGCCTGATTGCACTTTCCCTCTTTAGAACCAAGATCTTCTCTGATAGTCGTATTTCATTTTTTTTACAGCGATACTCAAAAATCCCTTTCACATATAAGTTTGTCATGCATCTCAGTCAAACTTTCGACTCTTTATTATATAATTATTAATCAATTCGACATTCCACAGCTACAACATGGGATAAAAACCAAGACGTTTAATATGACTAAAATATAGAATATATGATTTTCGCATTGGTGACCTGTATGTGCACTGATTTAGATGTTTAATTAAGTGCATTCATATTTATTTGTCATCCGTCTTTCTTTTTCTAATGTAAAGAGATTATAATTTGTGTTTTAAATTTCTTTTATTTGTAGTTTTCCTCATATCATTTCTCTCGTCGGCTCTTTTTCTTCTTGTCAATTACAGCATAATCTTCTTCCGGGTCATGGTAAGCCTGTAAACAATACAATAAAAATATACAATTATAACTAAATTTTGATGCTTTCCTAATTACTTTTCACTCTTATATCTTTCAATATCAAAGTGCGTTTGAAGGCTCTGGTGTCAAATATGTTTAGTTTGACACAGAGTAGCCATTATCCAGTGAATAAGGTGACACCTATTCGTATCCATTTATCGAGTAAGGATTTAGGTGCTCCGACCATCGGCCTTTTTTTTGGGGGGGGGGGGGGTCCGTTTTGACGGTGAGGACCAAGGAAATCCTTGAGATATGTCTTTGTGAAAAGTCATCCTTGAAATCTTAGATTGACCTGAAAGAAACTCCTTTAAAGCCCTACTGCACTACTTATAGCTACTTGCGCCCTCTATATAGCAAACAATGCCTAAGCGGTCCCCATGGTCCCTTTTTTTGTATGTTAATTGAGAGCCGATTTAATGAGATAACCACTTGTCAGTGACCATGCAGGGAGGTCTGATCCCTCATTGCCAAACGTGTGCAGATAGGCTGTCATGGAAGTAGTGCCTGTTATTTTGTGCAACATTTCTTGTGAGTCAAACGACCTACCGTGCAGAGAGGCATAACAACAAACAACCGAAGCAATATGGAAGTGTTCAAGATGCCTGCGAGTGAGTTATTTTTAGAAAGAAATACTTTTCATCTATATATGTTTCTCTTTCATAATATCAGTAAAGTAAAACATCAATGGCATTATGTCGAGTGGTATCCTTGAATTAAGATTTTATTCAAGATGACTGCTCGTACCAAAATAACAAATCAATTCGTATGTAATAAGTACATGTACTAAAGAAGGACGTATTAGTACATGTAAGGAAGAAAACTTTTCCCTAAAGTTTAGGACTACCAGCTAGCATAGAAAAAAAACTTGATTTTCTAAAACTAACCATATTCCTTTGATGAGCTCTTGATTGCCCTTTCTTCCTCTCTTCTCTAGTTGTGTCTACAACTGCATACTCGGCCTTAAGTATTAGATTAAGAAAAAACATATGAAACGTGATCAGTGTCGTGCAAGAAAATGTGAACAATTAAAACTAACGAAAACTTTATCTTGAGTATTTTCATTACGTATCAAATACACGTGACTCTCCCTGGCATTTAACAAAACCAACTAAACTAGATTTTTCAACAACATCTGAACATCATGGCAACTGCAGAAACATGGACAAATATTACAGAACTTCTTAATAGAAAATCTATTGTATTCATATGATACAGGATTTTCTTCTTCTTTGAAACATTTAAATTTCTGTTAACCTGATGGTAGCTTTAGTTTCAACTACGCAATACTTGTGAAAATACACAGTTTGAAACAAACTTCCTTTGCGTTCTAAAAGAATACCTTTAATATCACACTAAAAACGTGATACTTGGATTTTTTGTAATATCATGTTCATGTCATAAAAATGTTTTACAAATATCAGATGAACATAAGCTATTACATTACATACTGTTATTACATTAAAACATAGATTTGTGTTAACAACTTATTAGATTAATTGGATTTTTAGTGCCTTAATTTTCTGGCCTTGTTATACTCTAAATCATCATAGGAGATTGTAAATACTATAGTTACCAGTCCATTTGATGATGCAGTGTACACGTGTGGTACATTTCCTCTTCTCCCTATCTCCTTTCTTAGTGACTGTTCTGGTTGTACAACATCTCCAGTCTGTTTCGATATGACATAAACGGGTTAAGATAATAAATACTGATTTTTCGTAGGCATGGTATCTGCATGATTGATCATTTAGCCCCTTGCGAAAATATAACTCCCTTCGGCGGTCCAAATAATGTTATATTACACACCCTACCAGCTAATATATGTAGTATAGCAGCCACTTCCCGGCCTCCCATATGGTTTTACTCCCTAAAATCAATACTGTTTCTTAGTGCAGATTTCTATTTCGGTAAATAAAAGTGTAGATTTTAATATTGTTTTCTTCTTAATAAAAACCTCTTGCACTAAGCTATTATGAAGAAATCTTATTTTTGTTATGACATATCACAGCAACTGAATGTAGATTAATTCAATTAAAATAATTATATTTCCATAACTCAATCAAAACATGAACAAATGCTAAATGACATAAATTTCGAGTTATAAGGGAAAACTGGCTCTTGAAAAACCGTGTGTTTGAATGTGTTTGGTAAAGTGTGGGTATTGTAGGTTTCTAAGGTTTAGTCTTTATCAAAAGAAAATGTTTTGATTATTAATACCTGAACGGAAGATGAACCAGGATTTGAGGAAATGTTACGTTGCTTATCGACTGTAGCATACTCCACTGACGGATCCAGAGGCCCTCTCTACGAAATGAATAAACAATGTTATGATGTGCGACCCCATCGTCTTCTGGTTTGAAGTACACTATCATATATGTATTTCTGTTTTTGTCGGTGTTAAAATTTCCTCAAAATATTTAGAAATTTTCCTACTTGCAGTAAAATATTAATCCCGGTATAATGTTTTATGATATCGCCGAGTATGTACGTCAAAGTCCCTCATATTTTTGGAAATAAAGTACGAACTAAATATAATGGGGGATCATCTCCTGGCCGTGATATTCTCTCAAATACCTACACTTGTAACACAATATTGATACAGATAATTGCCATATAAATCTAACAAAATAAGGAACTCTTAATATTTAGATGGCAAGAGTAATTTCAAGGGGCGCATACACGATCAACTTCCTTTTCCAGCTGGGTAACAGGAGGTACACAGTCAGTTTTACTGGTGGTCACGCAGTACGCCATGGTTCGGGTGGATTGTTATTTTTCTTAAAGTGAAGTTCACAATGAATTTTTATAAAAAAAAGCACGTGTGGCATTCGTATTCTATTAATGATTTCGTATCCGTTGCTCCAAACATTCAATACCATATTCTGTTGAGCAGTCACGTCTGTAACTCGCTCGCTGACTGTGGCATAGTCCAAAGACAGATCAAGGTGACTAAGCTGCAATAAGAAGAAGATAAGTGTGTTATTGAATGGGTGTTAGAACTTAATGATAATGGTATTTAGATGTCATATGTCATCTTTTTGCTAGAAGTATCTTGTCTGTTTATTTGTTGCTCTTTTTCCCCATTTTTAACTTTGTTAAATGGAGCATATGTTTATCCATCCCTCTCTCTCTCTCTGATAGAGAAATAAAAAGCGAGAGTTCAGAGAGAGAGAGATAGAGAATGGATAAGTTTTGATAAGTTAATATACATCTATGTGTATATACCTATATCATATACGTTGTATTCAAGTATGTATGTATGTATGTAAGAGGGTTTTAAGCGTATGTGAATTACTAGTGATATTTTTCATACAGTATATGAATGATCACCAATCAAGGACAAACTGGCTTTCGAGAAAAAAAAAAAGAGTATTTGAAGGTGTTTGGTCAAGGTTGGAATTGTGGGTATATCTTGCCAGTATGGAGTTTCCACGGTATATACTTGGCAAACATGGAGTTTCTACGGTAAAGTCTATTTCAAAAGAAAATACATTGCAAATTTATACCTGAGCAGATGATGAACAAAGATTTGAAGAAATGTTGCGTTGCTTATCAACTGTGGCATACTCCACTGACGGATCCAGAGGCCCACTCTACAAAATGAATGAAATAGAGTATGATGTGACACCCCATCGTCTTCTGGTTTAAGGTACACAATCAAAACAATTCGTATTTCTGCCTTTTTTGTCTTATATACCGTAAAGTGTTGAGAGTTTATAAATTGCATCTGAATAATCCGGTATAATCGCTGATGATATGGCCGAGTATGTATGTCAATGTCTGTCATACTTTTAAAAAAGTACGGACTAAATATAATGTGGGATCATCTCCTGGCAGTGATATGCTCTTAGTTGTCTACACTAGTTTCATGATATTGATAAAGATAATTGCCATATGAATCTAACAAAATAAGGAACTCTTAATATTTACATGGCTACAGTAACTCCAGCGGCGCATACAGGAGTATTTCCTATTCCAGCAGGGTAACAGGAGGTACATAGTCAGTTTTACTGGCGATCACACAGAAAACATATCCACTGTAGGGTACATTGTGATGTTTTTCTTAAATATAATTATGGGTCACATAGAATTTTGATAGAAATGCACATGTCGTATTCGTAATCTTATAATGATCTTGTATACGTTGCTTCAACATTAAATACCATATTCTGTTGAGCAGTCACGTCTGTAACTCGCTCATTGACTGTAGCATAGTCTAAAGACACATCGAGGAGACCAAGCTGCAATAAGAAGAAGATAAGTGTGTTATGGAATGGGTGTTAAAACTAAATGATAAGGCTATTCAGATGCCATGTGATCTTTTTTTGCTATGAGTAGTTTGTCTGTTTATTTGTTGCTGTTTTTCTCCATCATTTTCGACATAGTTAAATGGAGCATATGTTTATCCATCCCTCTCTCTATGATAGAGAAATAAAAAACGAGAGTACAGCTGCGAGAGATAATCGACAAGTTTTGATAAGTAAATATAAATATATGTGTTTTTTCTATATGATCAATATATTATATGCATATATATATATATTTACATAATAGTATATGCATATCTATTTAGTTTTTAGATATTGCTATTTAATACCTGGGCAGAAGATGAACCAAGATTTGATGAAATGCTGCGTTGTTTATTGACCGTAGCATATTCCACTGACGGATCCAGAGGCCCACTCTACAGAAATGAATAAAACATGGTATAATGTGACGCCCAATCGTCTTCTAGTTTAAAGTGCACCATCAAAACAGTATCTATTTCTGCCATTTTAGACTAAGATTTCTTAGTTCACTACTTGCTTTCAAATAGCACAGCCAAGTATGTTATTATATGGCAAAGTAAGTATATGCCAATGTTCTTCATACTTGGGAAATAAAGCACGAACCAAATATCATTTGGGGGTCATCTCCTGGCCATGATATTCTCTTAAATACCTTCGCTTGTATCACAATATTGATAAAGATAATTGCCATAATCTAACAAAAGAAGGAACTCTTAAAATTAGGATGGCAAGAGTAACTCCAGCGGCGCATACAGGATCAACTTCCTTTTCCAGCAGGGTAACAGGAGGTACATAGTCAGTTTTACTGGCGATCACACAGAAAACATATCCACCTTGAGGTGCATTGTGATATTTTTCTTAAATCTGGTTCACAATGAATTTTAATAGAAATGCACGTGTCGCATTCGTATTCTAATAATTATGTTTAACCCGTAACTTCACACATTCAATACCATATTCTGTCGAGCAGTCACGTCTGTAACTCGCTCGTTGACTGTGGCATAGTCCAAAGACAGATCAAGGAGGCCAAGCTTCAATAGGAAGAAGATAAGTGTGTTATTGAATGGGTGTTAGAAATAAATGATAATCCTATTCAGATTCCATATGAAATCTTTTTGCAATAAGTAGTTTGTCTGTTTATGTTTGTTGCTGTTTTTTGTTGTTCTTCATTTAATACAGTGATAAACGGGATCATATGTTCACATTTCCCTCTCTGTAATAGAGAAAGAAAAAGAGAGATTGCAGAAAGAGTGAGAGAATGGATAAGTATTGGTATAAGTAAATATAAATATATGTGTATATACCTAAGTAATACATAAATATATCTATATATATTATAGGCATATATGTATGTAGGTAAGAGGGATTATGTGTGTGTGTAAATTACCAGTGATATAAATTATACAGTATATGAATGATCTCCAATTAAGGGAAAACTGGCTCTTGAAGAAAAAAAAGTGTATTGGAATCTCTTTGGCCAAGTGTGTTCGTTCAAGTGTGGCATTGTGGGTCTATCATTTAACTAGAAAGTTTTTAAGATATAGGATACATCAAAGGAACAGATATTGCCTATTAATACCTGAGCAGATGATGAACCCAGATTTGTTGAAATGTTGTGCTGTTTATTGACTGTAGCATACTCCACTGACGGATCTAGAGGCCCTTTCTACAGATTGAAGAAAAAACATGGTATGATGTGACACCACATCTTTCGTGTTTCAAAGTTCACAATCTGTATTTCGGCTTTTCTTGGTCTAAAATTTCTTAGTTCACCAATTGCATTACAAAAGCCCAGCCTAATATATTGTTATAAGGCCGAGTATGTTTGTCAATGTCCTTCACAGTTTGAGAAATAAGAAGAACGAACTAAATATCATATGGGATCATCACCTGACCATGATAACCTCTTGAATGCCCAAACTAGTAATACAATATTGATAAAGATAATTGCAATAATCTATTAAACAAAAAAGTAAAAATCTTAATATTTAGGTGGCTATATTAAAGGTACTATGTCCCATTTGCAGGCCAAAAAAAAAAAAAAAATAGGTTAAATTCCAATGGCATCTGAAAGATAATACTAATTTAAACTCCCCTTAAAAAAGAGGGGCTTGAAAATGTCTTTAAGTTGGAAAATAACGACTATTAGTTGTCAAATCGACTTAGGAGCTATAGAGCAAATAAGTAATAGTCTTGATTGTCATACTATTGTACCGCATGGTCGTACGTTTTATGCTGTGCAAAGTTTCAATCAGTTTAATTTTGGCCATTACAAGAAGTGGGTTATTAATGAAGACAAATCTTTTACAGCTCATTTTATGTATGTTATTACCAAAGAAGAAAAAAAAGCCAGTCAGTCACTCAATAGTGTCTACAGTGAAGTCTAGTAAGTAAACAGGTTTCCTTGCATAATTTGAATATTATGACACTGCTAAAGTTTAAAATTCACAGATAGGACATACGTAACATATTCGTAATTCCTGCAAAGTTCTACAGAATTTGAGGTTGGCTGCAAAAGGTACATTGTACCTTTAACTCATTCGGTGCATACTGGAGTAACGTCTTTTCCGGCAGGGTAACATATAGTAAGTGTCAATGGTGGTCACACCCCAATAAACAAAACACTAAAAAGTAACCTCTTTTGGGAGTGTATTTTAAGTGATTTTAAAGTACGGTGCCTTTTGAACTAGATTTAAACGTTATCGACACCTGCGTTCATTCAAACAAAAAAGGTACTCCTGTTCACGTTTTCATCTAACCTAAACACCACCAATATATCACGCGACTGGAGTAACGTGATTCCATTTGCCTCTGTAGATCACGTGTTTATGACCAAATAACCACTTGACCAAGCAACGAGTTTTTTGTCCGTTAACCGATGGTGGTGATAAATAAGTAATTATGAGGTGTCTCACACACCTCTTTAAATGGTTTCAAAGTTACCGTAACTTTCTTGGTTATGATCACGTAGCTAAAACTGATTACCAATCTAAGCTGAGAATCCGTGATATTTAGGTGTGAAAAATTAGTAATTATTAGGTGTCTTAAAACACCCTTTTAAATGGTTTCAAAGTTACCATAATCTTCTTGGTGATGATCACGTAGCTAACACTGATTACTAATCTAAGCTGTGAATCCGTGATATTTAGGTGTGAAAAATTAGTAATTATTAGGTGTCTTAAAACACCTATTTAAATGGTAGTCAAACTTGCCAGCAGTTCTGCGGTTATGATCTCGTGACTCAAAACGGATTATTAATCTAAGCTGGGTATTCCGTGATTTCTAGGTGTGAAAAACGAGTTATTTCGGGGTGTCTTGATGGTTTCACAGTAACCATTTAAGCTCCGTGGTGATAATCCCGTGACTGTTGGCATCTATTGATTGCACCAGTTGATAAATGGTCTGTGTGCATAATTCCAGTTGAACCAGCTGACACCAATTAATTTGCATATTGAATATGGGGTGCGTGCAGATCTATGTTTTTTAAACAATTTATCTGAATTTACAGCATATTTCTGAATTACTGATGATTTAGTCATGTGCAATTCATTTCGAAAATACTACAAATATAAATTACCAGTTATTAGGACATTTCGATACTTGGTATAAATTACATTTAATTAAACATGAATAAGGGAAACATTAATTATGAACTAAAATAATTTCAATAAAATACAAGTACATGAAAATTTTTCGATTCATTAAATTATGTAAGTCAACTTATTACCAATGCATTTACATTGGAAATACAGATGTACCAGTATTGGAGTGTTGTTGCCGTTCAACTGGCTGGAAGTTTTACCATATGGTTCTAATGGCTCAGCTAGACCAGTTGAATTCTAACTGGCCTGGATCCACTGGATCATTTAGCCCATTTCAATTTCCGGGGTTACCAGTTGGCATTAACTGGTTCATTAACTGGACCAGTTGCAACTAGCTTTCTCTTCTGGGATGTTTGCACCCACCCACACATCCCCCACCCCCTCTAATCCCAAACTGCTTCCGGCGCGCCTGGACGTAATTATGGAAGATCCAAAACACGATGTTCAGGATGAGAACGTCATTATTTTGGTTCATTTATTGTGTAACATTTGTGTAATTATTGGGTTGAACGCGGGTTACAGTAACATATTTCCTCTTCGACGTAAATTTCACGTGCATGAAGAACATGATTTATCTCAAGTCAGCCTCGCAATATTCACGTGAATTTCACGCAGATATTTTGACTAAAAGTATCATTAACGCTTCACGTGTTTCTGTGATGCGATAATTTCGTTTATAAAGATGTAATTTCATAACCAAACAAACACGGGAGTATTAGGTTTACAAACCATGGTCTCCACGGTAGGGATAATCACGTTATTATGATGGTGATATTGCAGTGACAATTGCGTGATTGAGTGTACGTGTGTTTTAAGTGACCTAGTGCAATAAACGTATTAACACATTTACGTAAATGTCCGGTGTTTGAAGAACGTAACTCTCCTCAATTCGATGCCTTGATATTAACGTGATTTTCACGTGTTTTTGTTTATTGGGACAGTACGCGTTTCCACTGTGGGATACATTGTGAAATTTTTTCTTAAATATGTGTCAGCATGGAGTTTAATAGAAATGCTCGTGTCGCATTCGTATTCTAATAATGATTTTGTATTCGTTGTTTCAACCATTCAATACCATATTCTGTTGAGCAGTCACGTCTGTAACTCGCTCGTTGACTGTGGCATAGTCCAGAGACAGATCGAGGAGACCAAGCTGCAATAAGAAGAAGATAAGTGTGTTATTGAATGGGTGTTAAACTAAATGCAAATGCTTTTCAGATGCCATGGGATCTCTTTTTGCTATAAGTATTTTGTCTGTTCATGTTTGTTGCTGTTTTTTCTTCGTTTTTAATAGTGTTGAATGGAACATATGTTCATCTTTCCATCTCTCTGATCGAGAAAGAAAAAGCGAAAGAGAGAGAAGGAGAGAGAAAGAATCGATAAGGTTTGATAAGTAAACATAAAATAAATGTGAATATACCTTCATAATATATGTATATCTATTTATATATATTAAATTTCCTATATATATATATATATATATATATATACTGATGTGTGATTGGTCAAACTGCTGTCACATGACTATCGCTACAAGGATGAGAAGCGTTATATTTTCCAACATGACGCAAATTACGTCATACCTCTGAATATAACGCCGTTATATCCAGAGGCATGACGTAATTTTAGTAATCCCTCAAGCACACACTACAAGTTCAATTCACTACACACCTACACCGCCGCTTCGCACACAAATACACGTATTATTTGCATGCAGCGCGAAATATGAAATTGCAACAAATTTGTTTCGCTTCGCTTGGTGAGGAAGAATTGGACTAAAAATAATTGATGAAAAAGATTCTCGTTCTACTGAGAAAGTCACCAATGTAGCTGAGAATGTGCTGAAAGCTTACACTACAATGGACACAAAGGATTTACATTTTTTTTTTAGAAACAATTAGATCTATATAGCAACTGAACTGAGTAAGTTTCAATCTTCGATCATGTTTATGCGGAGGTTTGTGAATTGAATAGTAAGCGTCTATTAAACACTGCTATTAATAGACCTCTATGGATTGCAGAGACATTTTTAAAAGGTGAGTGCTTTCGGTTTTGACATTATAAATGACCTACAGCACCATTCACTTCGGCTAGCATTCTTCCAGCTATTAGTCATAGTCATACAACAATTTAATAGTCCAGGACCAGGAACTAGCCCAAGTACTGCAGCTCTCGTGCGGGTAAAATTTCACATATATGAAAGATTATGAGACTGCATCGTGTTTTGTATCGAATATAGGTCATCAATATATAACAGATATTGACTTTTTCCTTCGGGAACAATATCACATTTCATTTCCTTTTATATGGAACTATATTTTTGTCTCGGAATATATTGTTCCTCAGCGCTACGCGCTTTGGAAAAATACAATGTCCCTCGACAAAGATATAACTCCCTCGAGGATCTCAAATGTTATTTTGCCCCTCTAGGCAGTCAATATCTGTATAATATTTTATGCATGTATGTATGTTAGGGGGTATTATGTGTGTGTAAATTACTAGTGATGTTATTTATACAATATATGAATAATCTCTAATTAAGGACAAACTGGGAAATTGAAAAAAAGTGTACTTAAAGGTGTTCTTTCAAGTATGGGTATTGTGGGTATATCCTGTTAATAGAGAGTTTCTAACATATAGGATATATGAAAAGAAAATATATTGCCTATTACTACCTGAGCAGATGATGAACAAAGATTTGAAGAAATGTTGCGTTGTTTATTGACTGTGGCATACTCCACTGACGGATCCAGAGACCCTCTCTACAGATTAAAAAAAGACATAGTATGATGTGACACACCATCTTCTTCCGGTTTAAAGTACATAATAACAAAAAGCAAAATGTATGTAAACAGCCGGTGATTTTATATATACAATATATGAATGATCTCCAATGGCAGATCTGAGTATTAACAACATTACCTTACAGTATATTTTGATAGACATTTACAAGACCTTCCCGCAAGTACTTACAAAAGAAAGATTATTGCCAGGTTTCATTAGTTAGTAATAGTGATACTACTTACCAAAGCTGACGAGGCTTCTAGATCTAGTTTGTGTTTGTCTGCCCGGCATTTTCCTGATCGCGGCTTTTTGTTTACTACAGCATACGCAACATCGGGATTCAGCGGAACCTGGGAATATCAAAATATGGTACCACAGCGATAACAAGAATGATATTTTGTTGTCGAGGGAAAGAAACATTTCATTTTACTCTGTTTCATATGAAATAAATAACGGAACTTTGTTTTTCTTGAGGTTTATGTTATTCTAAGTAAATGAAACACTATGGGGTTTACTATGGGGTTTTGAAGAGGACGACAAATCCATACAAAGATGCATACCGAGGTGGAAAATATGAACAGGTGCATATTGAAAAGAATTCAAAACTTGTTGTTTCTTTCATTCCATAGAAAATATACTTTTTAGATAAAAATACGTTGTATGTATTGATGACAAGAAGAAAAAGAAGAAGCATTACCGTTTTGACCTTTGTACAAGCGTTGGACCTGGCTCCCATGGTCCTGTTCTGATCTCTCTCGATGGTATCATCCACAGGAGACACGAGTGACTGAAGCGGAATCCGGTCCTGGATTCCCTGAGCCATACGGCAATTGGTTTGGGCGACGTGGGACGGAACGGGTGAATGTTGAATAGATGGGTTAGCTGTGATGGTTGGGATGAGGGGAAGAGCTCCTCGGTCATGCCCCGTTGGTTGTGTACCTGGTCCTTGAATATTGTTCATTTCTATAGGAACTATTCCTGTAAGTATTATACACACATAAATAACTTAAATACATGGCAACTATAGACAGTTGGCCTTTCAAGAGAGGTCACCACTAAGACAGGTTTGACATACGACTGATTTTTGTTTGAATATTTATATATATATATATATATATATTCGACAAATATGTTATGGGTCTACCACGAAAAAATGTCGTACGATCCGTTGTGACATCGGATTTATCTTACACAAAGCACACTAATCCCTACCAACCAAACTATGTGTGCAAATTTGCTTTCAATGAAAGAAAACGGAAAACCCTACTTCGTTTACAACCGTAACAATGATTATAATTCATGTTTCTCCATGTATAGTCATCAACATTTTCAATGTTTATATTCTCCTTTATTCCGACAACCATTTCATTCCTTTGATGTTGTTTTGGCTAGCCTACATTTTTTTTCCTGTCACAAAATGCGTACATGTTAAGTGCTTTTATAATGACAAAATTATATTACCATTTTTCTTTTTTCTGCATCTCCAAAAGACAAATATGAAAACGATAACAATCACGGTGAGAAATACCGTGGCTCCTACAGCGTACATTTCGAATGGCACCGTTTCTGCAGAGAAAAGAAAATACTTTAAGAGCTAATGAGGATCTATTTATTTCAAATAATGTTTTCATACAAACAATTATCACGCCGAGTTTCCCCATATACATAATCGTAAACCTAGGGCATACCGGCAAATGTAAACTTACTTTGACAACTTTAGTGATAACAAGTACAGTATGTATTTATTTCAATATCATTTAACTACCTCTTATTAGTATCATACTGTTAAATTATTGTACTGATACATATATATTCATGCCTCACAATTACAGCGCAATTGATTGATATATATTTACGTACCAAACTTACCATATCAAACTCCCCTACTTTCAGTCAAGTATTTCATTGTATTATGCAGTTCGGTAGGTTTATTTTACTAACTGTTTAATTATCAGATATCAATGATAGTGTAAAGATATGGAAAAGGTTCTTGTAGTTTATATTTAGCAAAGCAATCTCACATACAAAATCACTATCAAGTGTCGTCTGCTCCGCCGATTGCCGTCTGCTATATACGTTCAAGGCACATATTTATCTGTGGACTGTGATGTAGACAGTTTACTGCAGATTCATGATTAGCCATCTGACACATATACAATTACCACACACACGAACACGCTCACTTCCCTTGCCCAACACACCATTTCCGCATACCCGGTTCACACACTATAATCAATGGCACACCCTGCAACATAGTGGAACATTCTACGAAATTGACAATTTTCCTGCAAAATAGACTCCTTGAATCATGTAAGACGTAATTTAACCTATTTTGACGACTTGAATGCATGCCAAGATAACAATGGCTGCGTTTCCATACAGAATTAAAACTAGTTTACGATTAGAAATAGTCATTTTTTCGATAATTTCACAAAATATATTTGCCGCCTCATACAATATGACGTCATTGACAGCTGATTGGCTAGTTTGGTAGTGACGTCGAACTAGCTACGTTTGTGCTGGTATTGGTCCAGCGAGCGAAAATGAGACAACCGGATCAATATGTTTATATTAACTATTCATACATTTTGATACTTATACATTTCTAGAAAGACAACATTAATGTAAACGTATAGCTTCTAATGTACATATAAATCCGGAAGAAACAGAAAGTAACTTAGCTGTAAAAGACTTGGGAGAGCCAATTAAAGATTAAGAATCCTGGATATTTCATACCCCCAAAATAGATTTGAAAATGTCAAAGTGATATACTTTAACGACTGCTAAAGGATAATCCATGAAGAACAAAACGATTTCGTTCATGAAATGTTATCAAATTTTCCGACAGGAAATGAATAATTATTGAATACATCTTACCTAGAAATCCGGTGGTACTAGCCACGGTTGTAATTGCAGAGTGGTCTGTAGATGATAGATATAATGAACCGAATAAAAGAAAGAAATATCTAAGTTTCTTGTCTGTTATCAACATTTGATCGAATTATGTTGTGGCCACATTCAGTGCATTTATTTTAATCAGCTTCGAAATCAATTAAGAGATGTCAATAATATCGCAGATCACTGGGACTGTATTTTGACACCCAAATAATTTAGTTCTTATCATGTAACAACTGAATGTGCTTTTCATTTAAATTATGTGATGATGTCAGTAGGAGAGAAGTGTAAGTTAACGTTTACAGGTGACAAGTGGACATTCATGTTTTATTCCTTACCATTGAGTACGTTGAAGTATTCTTCTGAGCAAAACCCTGGGCATAGAGAGGTCTTTGATACACAGCAAGACAGAAAGCTTACGTTTAAATCAGGCTTGTAGCTAGCCAGATGTAACGCTCCGGCATTTTCCCACGAAACATTCGTATTTTCATTTCCTCTCCCGTCCAGGTAAGATGTGGTGAAGAAGAGTGATGACGATGTCAGATTGAAGTTACTGGTATTGGTTCGACAGCTCAATGCACTGTAACCACCGACGGTAGATCCCAAGGAGTCGTTTCTGACAATTGCAAGATGTTGAACACATACTGTGGAAGAAGGGGGGGGGGGGAATTAAAAATGTAATTCAATTTTATTTCACATAATCAATCAAAAATAGGAAACATACATATACATTATACATTGTCACATAACAATAATAGAATACGTGTATATACATTTGTAAAAACGATATGACAGCTGCTTGGTAGATAGTAGCCAGACAGAAATTGACCTTTATAAGCTGCCGACTTAAAGAAGATATGGAATTCAACAATAAATATAATAAGAAGATTACATGGACATGACAAAATACAATATAACCGAAACAAAATAGAGAGTGGCTGGTCTACAATATATATGAAAATATATGTAGTAACAGGTTCAAATTAGATTAATATTTTGCAAGGAATAACTGTTTTTAAAAAAACATAAGGCGATTGAGATTCTTTGATTGAGAAAGCGAATTCCAGGTGATAGGTCTTTGGTACAAAATACATTTTTGAACACAATTGTGTACGCATATGCGGCAAGTACAAATATTTTGTTTCTGCATTTACATAAATCAATTTTAGGGAAATGATTGTGGCAAGGCATAGACATTCATCAAGGGTAAAAAAGGGTTTTGCACAAACAGTATTCATAAATGAACAAAATGTTACATGCATATAACACATTACATAGTACACTTCAATGTGCTTAACATTAAATACAATAATACATAAATATTCAATGCATAGGTTACGACTAAAGTTAAGCAGAGTACGATAAGATGATACGTGGCTTCAATCTAAAACACGTTGTACGTGAACCAGTCGAGTTCTCAATTCCAAAGTAAAAGAAAGTGATTCAAAGTGTATACCTTCTACTTGTAATGTGATCGAGGTATTAATATTTCCTGATGCTTCATCTTTGTTCTTTATTCGGCATGTTAGAATGGTTCCATTTTGACTCGCTCTTGGGGTAAATGACAATGCACGGCCACCGTTGTGTGGACTACTCTCATGGCATGCATGATAAGAAAGATCAGAACAATTGGGATACCATTGGAGATGCACTGATGTATTGGCACGGCATCTTATCGTCGTATGGACATCAGCTCTGACCTTGAGAAAGCTGGAGTTGATTGCAGACCCTTCGCTCTCGCCTATAAGGGTTAAACCCACTGGTAGTTCTGTGACGGGAGAAAAATTGTAATCATTTAAAAGATGTAACCCATTGCTACGTCACATTTAAAAAACGCATTGGCCTGCTATTCAAAGCTTACATTTTGATGGTAGCCAATGCATTTATATACTGTTTTCCTCTAGGAGTATCAAAGTCCTGAAATAAATATTTTGAAAGGCTAGATTTATGAGTTTTATTGCAGGGGATTAACTTTCGTCACTCTAATTGAATCTTTAATTGACCTGTTCAGTAACAATTCAAAATTCAACATTTACTCCATTCAAGAGAAAAGTTAACCGACATGGTAAAAATAAGTTCAGCACTAAGGGGCACATTTAATTCATGTACGTTTACCCTAATTTTTGTCCAATAGCTTACATAAAATAGCGTTTATCAGAAGCCGTCTTCTAATAATTATTTTTTTTCTCCAAGCATTTTCTCTTCATTTTCTTTCTCCCTCCCCCCCCCCCCCAAGCAAGCTTTGTATCATGTTCTAAACGATGTATACTTGGATCAAACGACGGTTCTGTGTCTCAAAAAAATGTCAGGGGTAAAAATATAATCGGTAAAATGCTAAAAGTAAAAATTTTCATTGACAACAATACTAGAGAGAAATATGTTAGATGTGACCATGCCAAAGATAAAGATTTTACAGGTAATCAGTTCTAGCAAAGAATCTACTCAACATATTGGATGGAATTGTTTCTACCATCTGACTATTATTTCGTATCAATTCCAAAACCTGGGAGCCTACACTGCGCATGTTGCACATGTTATCATAATTATCAACACAACCAATTTTCGGAAGTATGAGAACAAAAAATAAAAATAAAATTGTTGTGGATTAATAATACTTTGCAGACAATTTAAGAAAATAAGGTTTGGTCGTAAAATCAAGAGATTGGCTACAGATTGGCTAAAATCCCGATATTTCCCCTTTTGATTAAACATTTTCTGTACACATTAGGTTAGAACAGAAAAACAACTTATTCCTATTCGCAAATATGGTGAAATTAAATAATGAGTTTTAAGTCACTTAGCTCTGAAGTTGTTCATGTTTATCTAATAAGCATGCAATTAACAAAATGGTCCGTTGAAAATACTTGGTTATGAGATAAAGGAAAACGTAATTCCTGTATAGGCAATTTAGAATGAAACATGAATTCATTTTTGTATAAATTATTCTAAACGTGATTTAGATCCAAACTTTGATTCAGACATGCGGTAATGGTTACTCAGGTCCAGGACCATGTACATCTTGTTGCCAAACTGTATGAACGGTTCTTTTCACGCTCCGGATTGTCTGACTACAGGGATGATTCACGAAGGTCATATTTCCTTTTCATGATACTATTACAGTGTATTTAAGAGCACCCAGTAGACACACCAGCCTTGATCAACATATTGTTATTAGTGCTATGTATAATACTTAATAGCGATTTACCTTCATGAGCTACACGCATGCATGAGACGCTGGCATCTTCTTTGTGCCCGCAATCGTGGACTCCAATCCCTTTATGATTGCAGTCTATGAGGCTGGCTTCTGTCCCATTGCACTGAACACCTTCCAGCAAGACTTTACCAGTACCTTGGCCAAATCTTGCTTCGGGTAGAGCAGCTAAAGCCCCATCAAATCCTAACTGTCTACACACAGTGTGTGTCGATGGTTTTGCGTGGTGGGTGTGTGTTTTGTCTTATATTATACATTATACGAATATTATTTTGAAATATGGCATGAAAGCGAGTGAAAAGAAAGTAACTGAAGTCTAATATTATTATCCTTCATTTCTCACTTTTTACACTGAATTCGTAAATGCTTTATATGATATAGTTGCTTTTGGTTCCGTTGTCTGGTATTCGAGTATTCATCTTTTAAATGAATTTTGGTGAAAAGGCTATTGCCTTTTTGGAATAAATATATCCATACACAACGTAAGTGTACGCGATTCATTCGTTATTAGGTCCATTTTTCAGGTCAATTTGAATAGATTGATAAAAAAATTACTACTGGATACAATAAGTAAAATAAATAGTGAAGCATTGTACCTCCTAAGAGGCACGTGACCCCAGCGTCTTCGTCGTGATGACAGTTGTGGACTCCAAACCCTAAATGTGCGCAGTCCGCAAGATTGTCTTCCGTTCCATCGCACCCGGCAAGAGACAGAAGGACTTCATCGGACCCCTCGCCAAACTGGGCTGCACCTGATGCAGCTGAGGCGTCGCCAAATCCCAGCATTCTGCATACGACCTTTGCATCTTTCAAATCCCAGCCATCGTCGCAGACCGTTCCCCAGGTGCCGTTGTATCTGATCTCCACTCTACCTTCAGAACTGTTAGATCCACCCATGAGTCGTACTCCCTCAGAGTTTGGATGAGCTAAAACGAAAATAATTGTTGTTGTTTTTGGAAAGCCACCATTAATAGTCATTCCCCAATCATGTACTAGTTAGGTAGGAAATGAGAGGCTTATTGAACAGCGTGTCTTGTAATGCTTGAAATGGTAAGCCCCCTTCTTAGGTGGCCTGTCGTCTACGACAGATCACCTATTGTTTTCGTCAGAATTTTCTTTCTTTCTTTATTTATTTATTTATTTATTAGGTGGTCTGTCGTCTACGACAGATCACCTATTGTTTTCGTCAGAATTTTCTTTCTTTCTTTCTTTCTTTATTTATTTATTAGGTCGTCTGTCGTCTACGACAGATCACCTATTGTTTTCGTCAGAATTTTCTTTCTTTCTTTATTTATTTATTTATTTATTTATTAGGTGGTCTGTCGTCTACGACAGATCACCTATTGTTTTCGTCAGAATTTTCTTTCTTTCTTTCTTTCTTTCTTTATTTATTTATTAGGTCGTCTGTCGTCTACGACAGATCACCTATTGTTTTCGTCAGAATGTTCTTTCTTTATTTATTTATTTATTTATTTTTATTTATTTCTGGGCAATTTTTCGTAAACAGAATAACTCAAGATTGGTTGAGTCAATTTTGTTCAATTTTGGCACAGTCATAGGGCATTGCCACAAGACGTGACAGTAAAATTTTCAAGGTCATCAAGTCCTCGTGACGTCATTCAGGCGCCATTTTTTAATATTTTTTTTGTACTTTCAACTCAAGATCATATCTTCATAACGGAAAGGTATTTGTTATTCATATTTATCATGATTAAGGTCAATATCCGTCCGGTCAATTTCAGGTCAAAAAACGCGCGCACATGCGTACGACCGCGCGTCAACGCGCGCGCAAAATTTAAAAATGCTCGAAATCGTCTCAAATTCATTTTAACTTTTAACTTCTGTCTTTCTCTATATAGTAAATATTCAAATCTATCATAAGAAGTGAAGACAGGCCACCTACTTCGTCCCCATGAGGAATAAAATTTCTAGTTTTATTTATTACCGTAAAAAAGTTTGATTCCTTTTAAAAATGATTTCTTAAACTAGAATACTGTTACCTTCATTCAGAGGCGGCACTCCCGGGGGGGGGGGGGGTGGGCAGAGGGTACAGTGCCCCCCGTTCCATTTCTCCCAACGTTATTAATGATTTGTCCTTGGTCTTGGTCTTGGAGTGTATAGCCTTGGCCTTTCATGCCAATATAGTGAATACCTTGGTCTTTAAGGTTTGGGCCTTTATTGCAAAACTCATATATATATATATATATATATGATGTTTGAAACAAAGAGTCCTCAAAACATTTCATAGAGGTTGATTGAAAATATAGCTTTTTAAAAACATACCTCCTGAATAACAAATGACGCCGGCATCGCGACAATGACCCAAGTAATAGTAATCTCCAATCCCTGAATGAGCACAGTCGACTAGGTTGTCTTCTGTTCCATCACAGTTAACTAAGTTCAGGAGAAAGCGACCAGAGCCTTGACCAAACCTGGCAGATTTCGGTGCGTCTAAGGCTCCATCAAACCCCAGCATTCTGCACACCACCCTCGCGTCTCTCAGATCCCACCAAGTATCGCAGATGGTTCCCCAGGATCCATCGTTCAGTACTTCTACTCTGCCTTCAGCATCGTTAGACCCACCGACAAGACGAACTTGAAATGGATTCGGATGAGCTAAAATGTTTTAAAATAGATTGATTCGTTCGTACCAGTGTAAGGATAAAATATTTACACGCGGCTCAAACTACTTTTGTGGAAATGATTACAGTTCGGACATTTACATTTTTTTCGGTATTATTATTTACGTTTCGATATCATTTATGAAAAAATAAACACAAGACAGTGTATTTCTAAAATACGAACATTTCTTTTGAAATGTGATAAACCATGACAAATCATAACTATGGTGTAGTGCATTAGCCTCAAGGCGCCTTCTTTTTTCTCTTTGTCTTGGCCTTGAGGATTCAAAGCGTTGTATTTTCTTTTAGCAATTCCAAGGCAATTCAAATTCATTATTAGTTTTACTTTTTTGTCAAGTAAAATTTTTAAAGTAATTTGGATGCTTTGTCTGATAACAGTTTGTTATTAAGGTACTACCAATTGCACATGCAGGTGAACATACTAGATCAAGAAAAATGCTCCTACTGCTACAAATCCCAAGAGAACAACAAAAAGTCCCTGTGTTTCGCGTGGCAGAAGAGGTGTCCTGATGTAAAATTGATGTGGCCCCCGTTTATCCTCGTCCATGTCAATACACAAGCCTTTTTTTGTATAGATAGGTCTACATCTGTTATTGTTTGCTTCGTTCACTGCTGATTCCATCCGCCCCCCCCCCCTCCCACCAGCCTAAGGATAAGTCAAAAATGGTTTTTATGAATGATATTTAATGTCACCTCTGAAGAAAATTTCTTCTACACGAATGCTAATCCCTTGCTACGCCACTGGTTGCTGTACTACTTGCATGAGACCTCTAATTCACCACCTTGGCATACCAATTAAGAAGCCTTAAATTGTACATTGGGCGTAAAAGCAAATTTAAAAAAAAAAGAGCATTGAGGGTTTAAGAGCAGTGAAACATTTTCCGATAATACTAAAATATACTTTCCACTCCCCCCACGTTATTAATGATTTGGCCTTGGTCTTGGTCTTGGAGTTTTAAGCCTTGGCCTTTCTAGTCAATATAGTGAATGCCTTTGTCTTTAAGGATTGGGCCTTGACTTCAGCATTTATTTATACAGTGTTTAAGCAAAGAGTTATGAAGGCATTTCATAAAGGTTGATTGAATATATAATTTTTTTTTTAAATACCTCCTGAATAACAAATGACGCCGGTATCGCGACTATGAGCACAGTAATTGTAATCTCCAATCCCTGGGTGAGCACAGTCAGCTAGGTTGTTTTCTGTTCCGCCACAGTTGACATAGGTCAGGAGAATACGACCAGAGCCCTGACCAAACCTAGCAGATCCTGGTGCATCCAAGGCTCCATCAAACCCCAGCATTCTACAAACCACCCTCGCATCTCTCAGATCCCAGCTGTCATCACAGATAGTTCCCCATGATCCACCGTGCAGTACTTCTACTCTGCCTTCAGCATTGTGAGACCCACCGACAAGACGAACTTGAAATGGCTCAGGGTTGGCTAAGGAGAAGAAGAAAAAAAAAATCTTTTTTAAATCTTCACATTTCACAGGAACTCAGATTTGTATGTATTATACAATTTAATAAAACCAATGTGTACGAAATAAGATATGCTTTTAAAATAGCCTGAACAAAATTTAACATTTATTGCTCACAAATCATTCAAGAAACGTAAGAAATGTCCCAAAAAAATGTTAAGACTTGGCGCTTCGCGAGAAAGACCTATACAGGCATATTTCCAAACGGAAACTATCTACTTTTATAATTTAATTAATTCTCAGGTACTGGTGGGAACAAATATAAAAATGACTAAATAAGTTAAAAAGAATAGTTTTCCCTTTTCATGTGATTCTAAAAGTATGCCATTTAGAATTACGACTGGTCGTTTCCTCATGTCCAAACGTACCTCCTGAGTAACACACGGCACCTATATCCATGTGATGCTCACAGGAAGAGTCAACCCAAGTTAAACAGTCTGACAGGCTGTCTTCTGATCCAAAACAATCGATGTAAAGAATGTCACCAGAACCCTGACCAAACCTAGCCGATCGTGGCGCGTCTAGAGCACCGTCGAACCCCAGCATCCTGCAAACCACCCTTTCATGGAACGAATACCAGGGTCCACCACAAACGGTCATCCACGATCCACCGTACAAGACCTCCACTCTTCCTTCAAGATTCAAGATTCAAGATTCAAGATTATTTTATTGGTCCATGCATGCAAACATTACATAGAAATTTTGCTTCCAATGGCTTTTTTGACAGTGAAAATACAAATGATAGAAAATACAATATAACATTTAACAATAGAAAACTATGTACATAAATATGGATAACTGTTTATAGTGTGCATATGCCCCTCAATTCCCTATTGCCTACATTTAGCATGCGTCATAAATTAAAATGTCTCATAATATAATATAGTATTTCTCGTCACCACCCCCCCCCCCCCCCCATCCGCTAGCTCCCGATCCACAGATGGTTTGGATTTGCAGAAAAATAACAGTAATAAATACATTTACATTCAGATTTCATAATTATAAATACGTGATATAATTACGCAACACTTCTACAGTAAAATGAACTCTTAACGATTGAAAAAGTTAAGTTAACAATTTACCGGCACAGTCGTATGAATAAATAACATGCGTCATAAATTAAAATGTTTCATAATATGATATTTCATTTCCCGTCAGCTCCCCCCCCCCCCCCCCCCCCATCCGCTAGCTCCCGATCCACAGTCTCCAGCTATCCGTTTAATTGCACTTCAATATCAGCTATTGAAGTGCAATCAAACGGACAGCTTTCAAAATCAACAATAGCAATTTCAAATCTAGTAGGAAATATATTTCGAATCCAGTAAGAAATATACGATTATAAGGATAGGTAGATAGGTAGCCTTATGTATACATTTATCGCGTCGCAGTTGAATTATACACATGTATGGAATTAGCGATGAATGAATTACGAGAGCGTGAAAGGCGAGTACGGGGAGGGCACAGTCTTATTCCAGAACGGTTGAACCTGAAACAATCATTGAGAGGATGAGTATTGTCTGTCATTATAACTTTAACTTTTGCAAGTAAGCGTTTTTCATAAAGTGCTGGAACAGGGGGCAGATCTGATCCTATAACCCTCTGTGCGACTCTTCGAGTTCGGTCTACTCTTCCCTTTTGCTCGTTTGACATGTTACCAAAAGTGCAGATCAGATTGAATGTCATTACGCTTTGGATGATCGATTGGTAGAAGAGCTTCAGGATGGTTCTATCGATATGAAAGCTGTTTAGTTTCCGTAATAATTCTTCAGCATTATTGGAGCCATTTACGAGACGTACTCCTAGGTATAAGACTTTCGATGGGTTTCCGCAAAGCTGCATTTCATTGTTGACTATCCCAAGTGACCCAGAATGACGCAGAACGAGCTGAAGATTTTTTTTTTCTGAAATAGATCCATTGCCCCTCGATTAACTACAAATCAGATTATTTTGATCGTAAAACTGTGATAACTAACAGGGGCGTTGTCAGACCTTTTTTTTTTCGAGGAAGGGGAGTTAAAACAATTCTCAGACTGCTGACGTTTGTCCAACAAGCTAGGAGTTTCTCTGTGAGAGTGCATTTCTTTAATATGTGAATGAATTCTTCGAGGAAAAAGCAACAAGTTTTAGAAAAATCGGACCAAGCTCAGATCATTCATAATATTGAAAATCTAGTCATTTTATGTGGTCACATAGAGCCTTTTGACAATATATCACGTAGGATACCCGAAACGACTGGTTGAAGGGGGTTGAAGGTGACTAGAGGCTAGACCTTTCCGCACTTGCAAGATCCGAGTCACAATGTATTGGTAAGTATTGAATTATTCTATTGTTTGATAGATAGTTTACGATGTCTATGATGAATCCAATTCAGAAGTTGCATAATTATGTGCGCGCACTTTGCATCATTCAGACGAGACTGTCTTAACTAAACAAATTAGCCGATGGTTCGAAATTGACAAAAAGAACTCAATGATGTTTCAATGAATTATTCATGAAATGTAAATATTTGTTCTCTCTGACCAGGGAGGTGAAAGGAGGGAGGAGAAACTTTTGTGATTTATTCAAACGCATTCGTGAGTTATAAAACTTAACAATTTGATGTGTAACATTCCACTTGGCTTTGAAGTTCCATGCTCCGCATCGCGCTTCCACTGCGGAGACTTTCGGAAGCCAGACACCAGTTTTACATTTATTACAAAATATTAAATTACCGGCAAAATGTCAGTGTAAATCAAAAACTTTATATGGGGATTGTATTGGGAATAGTGCATCAAACAAATTTTCAAATTTAGTACTCCGTCCTTCCTATAATTCGTGTGACAGAGTTGGTAAAAGAAAATTACATCCTGACAAAACTCAATTTTGCAGGATAATGCGCTAATTTGTGTATGTTTTAATGTCTCGTTATTTAACCCATGATTTACAATCTTCAATAACATTAAGCTTGCTAATGCGTGTTTTCGCGTGCTTTTTATATTTTTGAAGTTTAAAAAAGGATGAAATTACACAAGTTTGTGTTCGCTTGTTCTACTCTTTGCATAGTCAACAATGGATGACAAATCATGAAAAGGGACAGCGAACAGTTGCTGTGACACCATTTCCTGATGTAGGAATTCTAAATCCTAAAAGTTTTCTTCTAAAAACTGAGCAAAAAAAGATTTAAGCCCTATCAAAGCGACTATTTAAACTGAAAGGGATCGTTTAACAATTTTAAATCTGAGATACAAGTCCCTGCGTGTCGTCAGTGTTTGTGATATGGTGTTGTATTGAAGCCCTAAATAAAAAAAATTAAATTAAAAAAAAAGGGGGGGGGGTTCCTGTTTGCCCTAAAGTTTTGCAATTTTCATTGCAGCATGAGCTATATCAAGAAATTTTTATTTTTTAATTTTATTTTATTTTTAAAGGATCTAAGGCAAAGTTTCCGATTCCCTCTAAAGCCAATTGTGTCAAGTTTAAATAAGCGGGCGCCTTTGGACAATCGTGAGTGGAAAGGGTTCTAGATAAGACACAAGTCGAATGTTGCAGAACAATAAACTACCGGAAGTTTTTCTTTTATTCCTATTGTAGGTTGTTAGCCGCCTTCGCACTCCTCCCCGGTGCTCATATCATTTTGTCCAACGTATTGCCACGAAGGACCTACACAGGTTTCGACAATGACGAACAGCCAAATAACGTATTGATAGAACGCGGCTAGTATTGAACAAACATGCCGGGAATATATTCCGCAGAATTGGGGGCCGTTTATCGGATCATTAGGGCTTCGCACACGAGCGGCACGAGCTATTTGTTAGTGAACTGTTAATTAACAGCCTTATTCGCGCATCGAGATTAATTGTGCAGGAAGTATGCTTCACAGTTGTTCAGAAACTTTGGTGACTGGCTCCCAGAGGCGAGGTCATCTCATCGCCAACTTCAAAACGGTGATAAATTGAAAGAAACCAGATGCAGAACAGAACGTTACCGAAAAGTGCCATACCTTATATAGTCCGGCTATTAAACACAAAAATGTAATCTCTTTATACATAACTTTTTAATGGAAGTTGCTTTAATTGCATTACTTAAATTATGTGACCATTTGAAGTTTTTAAGAAGATTTTTTTTCGATATTTCTATATTTGAATTTTACTTTCCTAAAAACTTTTAATTTGTTTTATTTGTTTGTACTTTCCTAAAAACTTTGTGCAATACATTTAACTTATTACTATGTGAATATTGTAAATCGATGATTTACTTCTAATGAACAAACTTATCTTTTATCATTCCAAAGTTGAGTTTTTAACTTGAAATATAATCTTTGCAATTTCTCATCTTGTCTTTAGACGTCTACAATGGTTTTAAAATTTAAATAATTTTTCTAAAACCTCACTTTTTCACTCTTTGGTTTTCTGTTTATATATTTTATATTTGATTTATAATTTATGTCAAACTATGTTGATTGTAATTAATATGCATATTTTTGTTATTTTGCATGTTTTTATCTGTGAATTGTATCGCAATTCAGCCTTTTACGGCTGCGAAGATATTTTTTAATAAACCTTGAATTGAATTGAAATGTATCACCTTTTGGCAAATCACTTGAAGGTCTTTTGTGGTGACAATAGTGACATTTTGTCAAGTCTTGAATTTTATTTGCTGATAGTATAGGTATGTAAGCGAATTTTAGCATATTACGTTTAGGTTGGATCATTGCATTAGTACAGCAGATGATCATGCTTTTATTGAGGATATTCAGATAAATTTAGATAAATAGAAGTGACGCATTGTGTGTGAATAGTCTATGTATACAAAAAAAAATACACAATCATCATGATGAATATTTACAATCTAAAGTGAAATCATATCAATATCTAAGTAATTTGCTACAACACATCTATACCCAGTTAAGTAAAGCAAAATGATTGATAGATTGAATTTGTTTACCTTTTTGTGCATTGCTTGCTGTGAACAATCAATTATTTGCGTCAGTTACCATCTTACGATCACGATTACTTTGTGTATCACAAAGAGGTAAAGTTACTGAATATATATGAGATAATAATTTTATACTTTAGATACAACTTCACATTGTTTTATCAATTAGTTCAACACTGATAACTTGTTTTTTGACACCGGATAAAACTAATGAGGCATTCTAATTAACAGAACAGAACAGTACTCATGACTTCCATTGATAATCAAATTTGACATCACTTTCAGTTTTTTGAACAGTAGGACCTACTTATGACCTCCATTTATAATCAAATCTGACATCACTTTCAGTTTTTTGAACAGTAGGGCCTACTTATGACCTCCATTTATAATCAAATATGACATCACTTTCAGTTTTCATCGAACTGAAGAGTGAAAATCATTTTCGACCGTGTTTATTTGATATCATCAAAATATGGCTCTCATTCGATAGTCTTTTGTTTTAGCACACTTGCTAACATCATTACAAATGACAGATCATGCACACTAGCAACAACTAAACGCTTACGCAACACTGTCTAATTCCATCGTTGATTTCGTATGTATTTTACCTACCGTGTTCATGTCCGTACACTCAT